TTTGCTCCATTGATACCACATGCATGTGCATTGGAACGAGTCGCATTCCGAGTTGCATATTTAACATGTTGTGTTGTTGACTTGTGATGATTGATGTTGGTTGAAAGTTGTGAAGTGGTGATTTTATATAATCTGATCTAATAAATTGTTTATCATACACTCATTTATATGGTTTAATATCTCACCCATTCTGTTTAAATGTTGCCCTCTGTTGGTAAAGTGCAGGTAATCAAGAAGGATAGATGTTACCTCTGTTAGTTCGAGTCATTGTTATCGCTATGATACGTAGCACTCGGGGGGATGGATGCATGTTTTCTTTATTGTTGGTTTTCATTATGTTGCTGAATTTTTAAGTTGTTTTCATTAAAGACTTGTTGTCTTAAATTCGTTTTGAGTTGGACAAGAAGTTGTGGTGTTTTCAGTTGAATTTGTGAATCCGTTGCGTAGCAACGAAAGTTGTTTTATTTTTAAAGACTAAACAAGTTGTTATCAGTTCATCTGAATTTTACGTGTTATGTATCTGAACTATAGGTGATTGAATGTCATTGTTTCCAAGTTGAAAGTGTAGCATTCCATTAATTTGTTGGAAACTTTGTAACTCTAATTTTATATAATTCGTTGGACAGAAATGGGGTGTTACAATTCCTATATCCAATCAACATATTGTTGAGATTGGTTCTGAAGTCCATACTTCTCTCAGAAAATCAGAATATACCTTGATCACCTTCAAGGACTTCAATAGGCTTCCATCTTCTATACCATCATCAACAAACAACAGGTTCAGGACCAATTTCCTAATTTAGTAACAACCTAGGAAGATCCCTTTGGAAGCTATCACAAAGAAGAGCTCTTTCCACCTTCATAACTCTTTTCATCAACCACATTTGATCATGCCTTTATGAGTGGACTTGAGAGAAACCTCAAGTATCTTTGGCAACTTTAAAAGCTGGTTGAAGTATCTTACTACAGTCTCACCATCAGAGACACAAGGAACAACCATGGTTACATCAGATACCATGCAGCGAAACACAAAGCATACAAACTCCTCAACATTCTCCAGGCACACCATAAAGCCCTTGCACACAACTAACATACTCCAGGTGTAAACAAAACAACCTATTTTTTAAAATAAATCAAACCCAACACAGAAGCTCATCACCAAAGCTACAAGCCTAATAACAATAGACTGGTTGAATACACGCCCTATCATAAACAGTTCATCCTCCACTTCTAGGGACCGTTCAAACCACAATATGAACTTATCCAAGTTCAAACAACTTTTCAGTAATCACCTTCTTCCTTGCCCATGACCAGAAAGTATCATCCCAGAATCTCACCTATAAACAGAACAAGATGCCTGCTCTAATACCAATTGAAATTATGGTATAATAAACTCCAGATGTCCTATGATATATTGAGACATTTGAATCTGAACAAAGAACATGGCAAGGTATAAACAATAAAAAATAATACTAAAAAGGATAAATAATACACATGAATTGTTAACCTAGTTCGGAGCAACTCTCATACTCTGGGGGCATACCAAGCCAGAGATAAAATCCACTATAAAAATATCAATTTGAAGTTAAACTCCCCCGTTTATGAATTCTCACTTAATCATTACCCGTGTTAACTTTCTATCTAAGACACACCTAGATATGAGGCCCTCCTCAGTTCCTCATCAATCACAGACAACGATTGGACAAAATAGGAAGACACACTTCCATGACGCAAAACTAGAAGACACACTTCCATGACAATACCTAGCCAAGACTCTTGACTAAGAACATAACTTGGAGTTGCTTACAAGCTTCCTCCAAGAACAATACTCACTCTTGATTTATGTTGTACCCCAAAATTTGCTCTCTCTATTTGCAAGACATTTCTCACCAAAGATCTCAAATGCTCAAGGTTTCTCAAGGGTTTGATCAAGATAAGCTCACCTCTTAAGCACTGAGCCTCCAAATTAGAGTTTTGATTTTCTGAAGGACATTTCGACTTTTGATGCCTCAAATGACTTTCATGGTTCATTATAACTCTTCAAGATTGCTCATATCAAGTGTTATACCCCAATTTCCCCCCCTAAGATCCCTCATCATACTCTGTACATCTCATACATAGCATTGGTCCCGTGGTTACATGATAGAAGAGATTTTGGCATTAGGGTTTTTCTCTATGGACTAAGGTTGCTACATTCTTCAAGTTGATTCAACTAGTGCTCTTATCATTCTTGATACGAGATTAGGGTTTTGAATTTCCAGCATCATAGACGTCTTCCCTGACGAATTTCCTTAGGATACAAAGTTATCCTCATCAAGATTTTTCAAATAGATATAATTAGGGTTTCTCCTAAATGCTTTCCCCAATAGACAATCTTTTTAAGAAGTCTAGAAGACTGAATTAAGGACTTCTTTCTTGTGATGCTATTTGTTAAATGGTTGAGGATTGGTTGAGGGTTTCATCAAATCAAAATGTACTTTGTTGTGAAATTATGGATTTGGTTTTCATCAAACTTTTGACGTGGTTTGGGTGCTTCTCAAATTGGTGGCTCAACTAAAGATTGAAGTTCATTGAACTAATGTGTTCATATTGAAATTATCTTGGTCGTTCTTCTCCCTGCACGTCAACTCTTATCTAAGGATCATTCAAAGCATTATGGTTATCTTAAAGTTCCTAGTGTTGGTATTACAAGTTACCACAGGTTGGAGATCAGAATTAAGGTCCTATTAGAAATGATTTAGAGACTTGTTCAAGAAATGTCATCTAGTTTAAATGGATTCAAAGTCTATTTTATACCAGTCCATCATTGTCCATTCATTCCAAAGCAAGGCTCATGGATACTTCTCCGTTCAAGAGGGCTTATATTGGTGGAATATCAAGTCATGTGGATTTACCTCACAAAATTATGTGTGAATAGATACTTGAGATAATCGAGCCTATGCAACCTGAAGACACTTTGAAAAATAGGATAATTCAATCCGGATTCACATGATCCCTTTGAGTTGCTAACAATGAAGAATACTTTGATTATCATCATTATAACCATAAAATATCATAACGTTTCCAAAAGTCAGGACTGTTTATAATGTGAATCCTTACATAAATACATGATAAGAAAGCATTTTAAGCTCACTACCAATACAAGACTCTATATCATATGACACTTCAAAATTAAAAAGAAAATCTCATAAAAAAGCTCCTCCTAAAACTTAGTTCTAATCTTCCATCCCACTTCTGTTTCTTCTCACTTCAACCAACATGGCACCGTTACTTCTTCACCCCCTTTTAATTGGAGATTGCGAGGTTGAAAATGATTTTGATGTGGGTGGAGATAATTCCATTAAACTCTTACAAGGAACTGCTGCAGATAATCATGCTTAATCAATTGTTATTACCTTATTAGAAGAATATAACAACATATTTGAGGAAGGTTCTTCATCTCCCGGCCCTGATATGTACATGGATTCAGAAGGAGAATCTGAGATTGAGGAGGCCATCGATGATGATTTTTCCTATGATGATTATTATGATGATGAACAAGACGAATCAATAGAGAGGTCAGATGCAGATGCAGATGGTGATCTTGTTAGTGAAACCAATGAGACTGGAGACTCTGCATTCAATGATGAACATGATGATAAGGACAATCTTATTTCATATTCAAGTTTAAAATCCTAAGAAGTATGTGATTATCTTCTAGTCGACCAAAGGTTGTCAACAATTTCACTTGAAGTGTCATTTCCTCTATCTGAAGATATCAAAAGTTGTGAAGATTTTGCAAGCCAAAATAACAGTGCTTGTGCATATGAGTCCAACAAGCCTTGTAAAAATTTTACAAGTCAAAATAAAACTGCTTTTACAAATGACTCCATTAAGGCTACTGATATAATTGAAGGCTTATCCCCTGACCAAACTACAATGAATAGATTAAATTCTCCTAGCTCTTCTTCATGTATGAACAAATCTATAGCCATTTCCAATGGAACAATGCACCAGCGACGCACTGTTTTGGGGCGAAATTCTGGAAGCAAGAACCTTTCCATGGAATCCATTTATATTCTTGATGAAAACAAAGCTGAAGTGGAGAGGCTCGAAGCTATTAAGACAGAACTGCAAATCCAAATTGCAGTGCCGGGAAAAGTAAATGCAAAGCTGTAATCTTATATGGAAACACGAAAGGAAGCCTTGCAAGAGCAGCGTCTGGTTCTTGAGTGAGATGTTGATAAGTTGCATGAGCAGTTGCTAAAGGAGAAGAACTTTAGGGAAACTCTTGAAGAAGGACATAAGTTTCTTCCAGGTACATTATCTGAATTAATTGGTATAGGTGAACAGACCAAGACATACTTTGAGGAATTAGTGACGATAGAAGTAGAATTATTGTTGCCCGTTCAATTGACTGCCCGATGCACCAAGCCCTGCCCTGTTCCAAACGTTACAATCCTCCCTGCCCCTGTTTAACCTTCAACCAAACCTGCAAGAATTATGCAGCATCAGTACAATACATAAAAGCTCCCCTACAATAAAAAATAGTTAAAACAAAAACCAACAGAATAACAACCAACTTCCCAAAACAGAACTGTTAAAACCAACTTCCAACCACCTAACTGATTTCTCATCCACTTATCGCTGCCCTCCATTCCATAATAAACTCTCAGAAATCTAACAGAGAAGGGCTACTCACTGAAACCTATGTAACAGAATGGTAACAGAAGGATCCGTTGGACGAGATCGATTCACAATAGAAGGAGGTATTGATACATAAGAGATAACAAAATTTGGAGGACGGACCTTTTTTCTACAATCTCAGTGATCTTGAGCCTCGATTCTCTGTCATTTTCAACATTCCATTCTCTCTGTCATCTTCAACCTTTCATTCCCTCTTTCATCTAAAACCTTCATTCTCTCTTTGTTCTTCATGCCCTTCCTCTGCAACTGCTTCAATGACCATGACCCTGTTCTACAATTGAAACTTTATCCCCAGTCAAAACCTTCATTACCATTCACACATCATCATCTTCATTAACACTGCATCATCACAACCACAACGCCTCAATCAATAACACCAAACACAATATCAAACACAAAGAAGAAGAAGAATGACCGAGCAAACACAATTCGAAACAAGAACAAGATACACATACCTGAATCGTTGAAGAATTTCCCCTAGTATTCTCCTTACCATCTCCGTTAAAACCGCATTTGACGAACTCTGATTGGTAAGTATCGAACCTTCATTTATCATCATCCAGGCGCCTATCGTTATAATATTTGATTGCGAGCAAACCTTGTGAGATAAGATGAAAGAATGGTGGAGTGGTGATGAGGTGTGATGTTGATGATTCGACGAAGAGGTTGAGGACGAATAATCGGAGCAATGTGAGAAAAGGAGGTGAGGAGAGGGGAATCCTTCATGGCTGTTTGAGGGATTTGAGGCAGAGAAAAGAGAGCGCAGCGGCTCTGTTTGAGAGAGAAGATGAGAGCAAGGAGTTACGGTGTTGTTTCGCATTGAAGGATTAGAAAAGATGAGAGAATCGGTTGGTTACAGTGGCACGGAATTTTGGTTGATCAGATAAGTAGAAGGTTGAATAGTGGCTGTCATTTACGAGTGAAGAAGAAGAACTCGCATTGTTCGTAGGAGCTTAAAAGTCACAACAGATAAACCCTAACATTTCCACTAAAAACTCTACCGTTTCATGGTCATATGGAAATCACTTTTCTTTTTTTTCATTATTTCATTTTAATTCAAGAACTAATAAAAGGATAATGAAATGAAAAAACCAAATCTAGTTAGTGGCTGCGCTTGGGCTTAGCCTCCTTGGGTCTTAGCGCTTTAGTTTACTATACTACATCCTCCTGGCCCAGTATTAGCACCTCCCTGGCTCTTGTTAATTATTTTTTTAGTTTTTCTTTTAGTTTAAGTTATCTTCCAACTATCTTCAATAAAGATTAGTGATGAAAGGATAAAAAAACATAGAATTTAGGACTTTTATCTTACTTTTTCTATATTTTTTATGATAAGAAAATTACAAAAATCAGTAAAAATTTGTTAAATTTTTTTAGTTGATTTTAGGAATTAAATCATGGTTATCCGAATACTTGAACCTTGTGATTCACTTTTGCTTGTTGAGTTGAGCCTTATGCAGGTTCATTGTTAGATATGCGGACATGTTGGAATTTCCGATTGTGATTTATTTTCACATCGATGATGCTCCGACACTATTTCCAAGCATTCGATCTTTGACTATTTGTTTGTTGATTCCAGGTCGCACGAAGTATACCGGGTTTCTTTGATTTGGTTGTTCTTTTTGCGAACATTATTGTTCGTTTGGTATTATACTGCTTCCAAGTTATATTTTCACATTTATCGCTTTCTAGATATCATGAGAAGTAGTAAATAAAGAGCGTGCGCTCGAAGTCATTATTTAAAGACCTGTAGCAGGAATTCCGCACTTCATTTGCTATATGTTTCGTACTTGTGTTTGTTTCCTTGGTTATTGATTGATGATTCACTCAATTTAGAAATTGAGATCACGACTTCGCTCTCAGTGTATGCTCCGTATAGGATTTTATCGCTTTCCCTTATTTCTTGTTGATCGATGAGTCACTCAATTTAGAAATTGAAATCACGACTTCTCTCTCATTGTATGTTCCCTATATGATAGTTTGTTAGAATTTCTTTGGCATGCTAACCTAGGTAGGATCTCTCTAAGTGTATTCTCTCTTGAGCTTATTGGTCTGCTTGTTTGATTTCGTCTTTGTGTGCATGTTTTCAGATGATAGACCCTTGCTATGCTTCTTTAGGACTTCTTGATTCATTTATAGATGATGAGTTGAGATTGACATTAGGACTGTATCCAAGCATGTCAACTTACGGTAGAGATTTACCTTTAAGCTAAACTTTAGGATGAATCATTGTATGATAACATTAGGTTAAAGATAGGTTAGTCTCCCTTTAGACTTTTCATTCCTCTTTTGCATAACTACATTTAAAACTAAAACTTTTTTTCTTAGCAAATGTATAAAAAATGCTAAGTATACAAAAATTACTTCCATGGTAAAAAATACCAACCAATCCATTTCTTTTCGTCGTTCGGATTTTCTCTTCTAAGAGCATGTTAGTTCCTTTCCACTACAGGTCATAAGTCTCCAAAGGTCGAGCAGTGGTGGAATGGTTGAATTCAATATTTTTCATTTAAAAGACACAAACAAACAAAGTATGTGAGCCGAACTACGACACTCTAAGTCCTTAAAAGGTATACGTAGGCATCTAGTCACGAGGCTTAGCCGAGCGAAAATTTGTAAATTTTTTCTTCTTTTCCCCATGTTTTCTTTACATGCATTCCCTCTTAGTTTATAACTTTTAAGAATTATATTGAATACACCATTTGATTAGAACAACAAGAGTGGATCCCGTAGAGTACTACGGACGTGTGGGGTGCTAATATCTTCCCCTTGCGTAATCGACTCCCTTACCCAATCTCTCGGTCACAAGACCTTGATTTTCCATTTAGGTTTTTCTTCGATGATATTCATTTCCCTTTTGTGGGATAAATAAATACTCGGCAGCGACTTCATTGATTTTACCGCTACAGAAAAATGGCGACTTCACCGGGGAATTATTATGTCGACCAATTGCTGGTCCATCCTATGAGTCAATCCTAGCTCCCGTTTTTCTTTTCTTAGGGTGTTTATCATTATGCTTTTACGGTTTATTCATTTGTATATGTTTAAGCATATGTTTGCATTGCATCTTTATTGTTATTTGTTATATTGTTGTTGTGCTAGTTTCTCTATTTCTCTGTTGGGTGGGTGTTACTATGAGGTAAAAGGCCCAATACCCAGGCTAAGCGACAAACAATAGGAACATTAGGGATATATTGGAACACGACAGATATGGGATGTATATTACTCTAGACGGCTTTGTCATCCATGCTCAGATGAGGTTTTAATGAGGTGCTATCATTATCATGTAGGTGTATGATGATAGTATTCTCAAGCAACCTGTGATTTTAAGTCACCATTGACCTTACTGTGACCTAGTCTTTACCCGTGAGTGGGGAGGTAATAATCTTTACAGGTACATATGTTAACTATACATGTTCTATTGGTGACTCTAGTTATGTTGGTGACTTTGGTTCTTGGTATTCTGAATTGGTCCATACTTTTGATCTTGTTACGTGTGATCTTGGTTCTATTATCAGTTCAACAGCTATTCTGTACCGTGGAAGCTTTGATCTCAAATGTTTGCATACATAGCTTGTTAATATAATTATTAGCGCACATATTACTTCGTTTCCAAACATCATTTCCTTGATTCCAATTGTTAATCCAAAAAAATAAACATTGAAAAAAAATATAATAAATATATGAAAAAAATAAATAATAACATCGTGACTTAGTAAGAGGAATCAAAGCGTATACACTTTTAGAAATGAAAACATGGCATTTATATTACATGTCATGCATCATGTTACATCTAAATATGCATTTCATGAGTTTCCCAGAAGTGTTACCCAAGGTCCTTTGGTCTTCAGAATCAAGTTGTCTTACCTGTACAACACCCGAGCCAATTCTAAGAAGAACATGGATAATCTCGAACAGGAGAATCATGAACTGCGTGAAGAGTTTACTGCTTTAAGAATCGGAATGGCGAACTTGACTTCTTTGGTAGAGTCGTTGGTGGCTGCTCAGAATCAGCCACCACCACTGCCACCTCCTCATGATACGCAACCACAATAAGGAATGGTTATCTATGAAATTATGATAGTTCCCGTCTCTGTTGCTCCAAATACTTAATGCTGCTCAGCATCACATGCCCCCTGGTTATCCATGGGGAATGCCGGAAGGTTATATACCAGAAGGATATAACCCTACTACTCAAATTGCTCAGCCTATTCAACATGTTATGGTTTCTGCCCCTCATGTGGTACGCGTTACTCCTACAGTTAACAATGATATTTGTCATGTTGTGCCTCTAGTAATGAATGACGTCCCTGTTATTAATGATATGGTTCATAATACTACTCCTCCACCGAGTGAAGTACTAGGATTCTATGAAAAAATGGATGATTTCCAGGATCAAATCAACGAGATGCGAAAATAAATGTTCGGACAGAATGTAAGTGATATGTGCTTAGTTCCAAATGTAAAAGTACCTGGGAAATTCAAAGTACCGGAATTTGAGAAATACAAGGGAAATACTTGCCCTCGGGCTCACCTGGTGATGTATGTAAGAAGGATGTCCACTCATACTAACGATCAACGTCTGCTAATCCATTTTTGTCAAGATAGTCTGACTGGTGCTGCACTGAAATGGTACATGAGCTTGGATAGTGCCAATTTTCATACCTTCAATGACCTAGGAGAAGAATTTGTTAGGAAATACAAGTACAATGTGGACATAGCACCTAACCATGATCAACTCAGGGCTATGGTCCAGAAAGACAAGAAGTCGTTCAAGGAATACGCACAAAGATGGTGTGAAGTGGCCACCCAGGTAATCCCTCCAATGGAATAGAAGGAGATGACGAAGATCTTTATAAAGACTTTAGGTTCCTTCTACTACGAAAGAATGGTGGCGAGTAAGCCAAGTGATTTAACTGAAATGGTGGGTATGGGTGTTCGCTTACAAGAAGCTGTGAGAGAATGTCGTTTGAAAAGAGATGAAGGTTCCAGTGGTACGAAAAATTGTCATATGTATTTGCTAGAAAGAAAGAAGGAGATACAAATTTATTTGTTCAAGAGAGAAGGGATAAGCCTCCTAGAAGGCGTCATGTGCATCAAGAACAAGTTGCTTCAGTAACTCCGGTTGTTAACGTAGCTCCGACTGCTGTTGCGTATCAAAGAACACCCCAATAAAGAAATCAAGGACAGGGTCAGAAGAGAGAAGCCTTTGATCCCATCCCTATGAGCTATGAAGAGCTATTTCCAGCATTGATTCAGAAAAACTTAGTGCAAACAAGGAATCCTCTTGCTATACCGTCTCCTTTGCCATGGTACTACAAGGCAGACCAGACATATGCCTTTCATCAGGGAGCCCCTGGGCATAGCATTAAGAACTTCTACCCTTTGAAGTCTAAGGTTCAGAAAATGGTTAGATCTGGCCTTTTGTCCTTTAAAGACGTTGGTCCCAACATGAAAGATAATTCATTACATAAACATGGAGGTGGAGGAATGGTGAATATGATTTCTGATAATCCAGAAGAGTCCAAGATTTATGATGTGAATTTGATAAAAGGAAATTTGGTCAAGATGCATAAGTACCTTTGCAAGTTAGGTTATTGTATGCATGACCATAAGATGTGTAATATTTGCAGCCGAAATAGCCGCGAATGTGATAAGGTAAAAGCTTCCCTTCAAAGACTGATTGATGAAGGCCTTGTTTGTATTGCCAGGACCAATTCTGAATGCGAAGAGGAAGTGAACATGGTGTACGGATGTCCCGGTGAGTTCCAAATTTATAACGTGAATGATATGGATGATAATCTGGTGCAGTTACATGCCAAC